TCATGTAATAGATGTTACTGTCTTTTACAATGACAGACTAAGGGTTCTGTTCTCCTGCATAATGTAAGCGATCTAGCGGCAAAGGAAATCTTAAGTTTAACTCAAAAGATCCTGCATAACGTAGGGGATCTAGCGGCAAAGGAAAACTTAAGTTCAACTCAAAAGACAGATACAAAGTTGGAAAAGCAGTTACCTTCTCCCATTTAATCTGGAGCTGTTTAGGGAAGATGCAAGCTTAACACCAAGCTGCTTTGCAGATTCCTCCTTGCTGGAATCAGCTCAACAAGTTTGATCCGAAGAATAAAACAGAAGAGTACGCGGCTTGGCACATAAATCCTGCAAGTGCGTCAGAATGGTCAGCCTGCCGCATCGGAGAGAAAATTGTATATACAATGTAATCTCTGTATGAACACGCATATCAGTCTAGTTGGTGGGGACAAATGTTCAGGAGAGTACTATATTTCTTGTTGCTCTGAACTCTAATACTCCAACTTTTTTTTTGGAAAAGCAGTACACTGGTTCTTTACTCAGGAGAGTACTGTATTTCTTGTTGCTCTGAACTCTAATACTCCAACTCTCTATATTAGAACAAATCTAGACGAATTTTATACAAAATAAGTTGCGGCCGCTCTAGGGGAGCATCTCAGATCGGTCTCGCGCGCCGAAGGAGAAGAAGCGGCTAAGCTAGCCAGACCGGGTACGGGTGGGTGGACTAGATTAGCAAGGGCGCACCTACCAGTCCACCACGCAGCAGACAGGCAAATCGGCAACTACCTCGACGGGGATTCAGACCTCGGTCGCCGGCCGCCACGCAGCAAACAGAATAAGGGAGCCGCAAGACGAACTCACACACAAATCCGTATCAAGATAATCCAGTCGGGACAGGATAGGGTTCCTTACCGGCAAGATAAGAAACCGATCCAGCACCAGGACCGCGTCGCCGCCGGCGGGGCGAACCGCGAGGTGGGGGAGGGAGAAGGGGGCGCCGGACGAGACCGAGGTGGGGATGGAGAGCGGTAGAGAGCACTAGAAGAGGCGAGGAGGGGGGGGAGAAGCGGAAGAGTGGAGCCGAGGAGGAGGAGGTCCAATGGGTGTGGTTTTGTGGACACGCACCCGCACCGGTACCGGCGGTGTGGATGTCGTGCACCTACCGCCACGCTATGTGCCGCGTCGGTGAGCCGGAGGATGGAGACACGAGGGAGGGCGGCCCTTTTTAACACACGGATAATGACCCGTTCCTTGTCGACAATACAAAGAGGGGAGAAAAAGTCCTTTTGTGTCAAAATACCACGTCATTATTAAAACAGATCTATCTTTAAAACCGTGGTTCCAATTGAAAAGGCGACCAATGTCACTTCATCATGGACTGGAAGACCGTCTACCGTTGTTTTTCGACACGGTTCAATGGTGCCCTCGGGCTTCTTTGGGTTTTGCTGCAATGGACGATCATGAAAGGTTGTGGACAAGCTCCCTTGCTCTGATGATGACAATCGACTCTTAATGCTTTTGATGATGACAGTAACCCTCGGAGACGGAAACAAGGCCTTATTTTGGCATGACAGATGATCAGAGAAGGAGGCCTTTGGCCGAAGTTACCCTGAGCTCTTCGGTATGGTGTCGCCAAAGTTACGGAGGGAGTGGCAAATAGCTTTTCTATAGAAATTGTATTAAGTTGGTTGCAAGAATCAACATGTCGACACAGATCATCTGGTCCATTCACTTGTGTTAACATTGAAAGAGATCCTCCTTGACCGCCAAAGGTGTGCTTCAGTTATTTACCTCTAGACCTCTTCCAGGAAGTACTCTCTCGGCTCAGTCTATAAGCCAAAATTTCATAGATACCATGAAAAATTGTCAGGGGAAAAGGATGTAGAAAGTCCCATCAGAACTAAAGTCAAAAACAAAAAATCTCAAGTCTCTTCCTTCATAGTGGATCCTCTAGCTATGTGTGGTTGACTAACGAATCATGCCAACATTGCCTTGGGGGAGGGGGTCGAATCCACCAACCACTAATGCAAAGATTTTCATTTCATCCTCGAGGTCCGAGGGCTCATGCACACTTGGATATTCAGCTACCGGTGGTGTCTTTGAACACCGCCGCTATCATCGATATCTAGTGGGATGTCATGATGTGCCGAACGGATAGGGACATAAGCACAAGTACATCTTTGGAAGGGGGAGAAGCGGAACATCTTCAAGGGTAGGAGAATGTCGTATGTTCTAGATGCCCACTGTGCCTTTGAGGACATCGCTCACATGGATTCCCACGAAAACCCCTGAGAGAGTAGGGTGTGGTTCTAGGTGTTTTGGCATATTAGGGCAACTCCAACGCCGTGCACCAAACGCCCATAAGTGTCTGAAGTGTGCGCTCCAGATACTTTTTGTCATCCAACGTCATATGCACCAAACGTCTACGGCATGGTCCAGGTGTCCGAATTCCCCTAAACCAGTACCAAACCAGGAGGGGTACGAATGTCCACCTGGCTCATTTGTGAGGTGGACTACATTTCCTCACACCACATGTGCTTTTTCCTCTAGGTCTATATGGCCTACCCTGTTGTCCGGGTTTGATGCCTATTTGATGTCTACGGTTGGATGATCGCCCCCCCTATCTACGTACATGTCGTGACGTAATATTTGATGTGTTTATTTTGATGCACACCATTAGAGTTGGCCTTGTATAACAAAGTGTGGCCACCTGCTTATACATACTTTTTCTATTCTTCTGATGAAAAGGCAGTACTCCTAGTGTCGGTTGATCGAAAAGAGTAAGTCCTATGCGTAGGGAAAATGACATGAATACATTGGCGGTCACTGAAGTTGAATCAAAAGCACACTATGGTCGTTGTACTTCTGAATACGCTCATTACGGTCATTGAATACGCCTTGTGGTGATTATGCGGTCATTGGCTCACCGTAGAGCTCTGTATTCTGCTTGGTTGACTGTTCAGCATTTCCAAGTAAGCAGTCAAGCATGCATACATGGTAGTCGGTTACACCACCCTGCCTATATGACTGGTCGGCGCTGCATAGGTAGAGAGAGTGTTGTGACGGGCTGCAACTTATGCATGATTGACCGGCAAGGTTGACCAGTCAACTCAGCAGAATATAGTGGCTCTATGGTGAGTCGGCAACCATATAATTACCGCAACACGTATTCAATGACCGTAACGAGAGGAAGTACGAGGGCCGTATTGTGCTTTCGACTCAACTTAAAAAAAATAGAAAAGGAGGATCACCCCTGACCTTTGCATCAACTTCAATGACTATCAGTGTATTTACCTCGTACACAAAATACTGCCCTTCCGAGATGAACGAAAGTAGCAGGGTGTTTATGTGCAAGTTTTCTCGTTTAGTCATTTGTAAGTTCCTAAAAGAATTCTGAAAACAATTCATGGATGTGTCCATTTGTGTGCTCCCAAAAGACAAACTCGGTGCATTTGCACAATCTGTTTTTGACATTGTCTTCTTCTTTTTCTAAATCATCTAGGCCGTGTTTACATTTTAAGCTTTCAAGTTGCCAATGTGAAATTATGATAAGATCAACGAATTTGATTTTCATGCCAAGAAAACACTTGTTTGAGTGTAAGACAAGGCATGGCAGCACATGAGGATGCCTAGCTTGATAACGGCGGCAGTAGATACAGTCATACAGATATGGCTAAGATAAGTTAGTGGCAGGTTCATGTGGGAGCACGGAACTAGATCCTCTAACATTAAAAAAGAAAATTAAAGAAGCTGCAATACCCTAACTTTCTTTCTTCCTGTCTATATCATTATGATTAAAACAATTTAAGTTAATTTGTAAATTGATGATCTACTCTGCACATTTATATTAATTACATGCAAACAAACTCATGGTGAAATAAAATTAATTTTAAATTATTTATATTTACAGTAAATACCAACAGCAAAAGGCCTACTAATACTCCCTCTGTCCGAAAATACTTGTCATCAAAATGAACAAAAAGAGATGTATCTAGAACTAAAATACATCTAGATACATCCTCTTTTATTCATTTTGATGACAAGTATTTCCGGACGGAGGGAGTATATACTAACAGTTCTTAACTTTTCTTTTTCATTTTACACTAGACTAGCACTATAGCATCGAGACTTTACTTCTCCATCTTAGAGGATCCGGTTCCGTGGGAGCACCTGACCGACTGACTTATTCAGGCACTTGCCGATTCAGATTTAGGGCTTCATTTCAACATTTTGAAAGCAGCATTGTCCCCTTGTTTTGTTTCTTTTTACCTGGAAAGATAACGTCAGAACTTGTTTCTATCTGCACCGGGAAATGTTATCATCTTGGACCAAGTTGCTGAGAGTGAAAATTTGTGATTGTCAGCGATCTGAAGATGCGGTTTTGAATTCTTTAGTCACATCAAGCAGCGAAGATGCTCATTGCCTGCACTACTTCGCACGGAGGTGATTGCACGCTATTATAATCTGCTAATTGGGTTACTGAATAAATTCCGAGGCAAATCCTAATGCTTGCTCGCAACACTGTGGAAAATACATGCTCTTATTTCAATATACTGACACCAAATTACAACTAGAGACTGTTAATCCAGCCTAGACTTCAAACTCTGCTTATTGAAAATAATCCAAGTCTCTAAGAGGTAGGAACAACCCAACTTCTTGACATCAGAAATGAGCTGAAGCTTAACAGCTAGTACTACATGCTTTCTACAGACTACACCATAAAACTGTGCCAATAGAACTCCAAAGTAACTACATGCCATGAGACACCTCTAATCTTCTACCATATCTGAAGATCGCAGAAGGCACACCAAAAGGAGAAAATAAAAACACTAGAACAATGACACAATCCTAGACAACTATGAGATGCAATTCTTCACCATTCCATAGCAATTGATCGCCAGATTCTTCTCTTCCATCTCCATGTCATTGCTGCCCTCTAGAAACAATCTTGTACTTGCCAGTCAGTTGTTGCTGCACCAACACATACACAAATCCAACCAAAAAGTTTCACATCAGATCGCTGAAGCAAGCTCAAACAAGACAATGACAAGAAAATCACAGGATTTTACCTTCTCCCAGAGCTTGGTGTGCTCCCTACAGAAGCCGGCGACGACGCCGCCGCCCTTCTCCTCGCGGTACTCGATGCAGAGGCCGCCGTTGAGGCCGCAGGAGACGTGGAACCCGAGGTCGCACTTGGGCTGGGAGCACTCGAGCGCGCAGCCCCTGCTGCTCTCGCAGATGTAGCAGTGCCTGGTGAACCGCCGGCCGGGCACGAGGGAGCAGTCGATGGCCTCGCGCCCGTCCGGGTCCCCGAAGAACACCTCCGGCACCAGCAGCGCGCACGCGATGTGCGCCCACGCGCCGTCCGTGGTGCGTTTCATGGCGCCGCCCCTCGCCGGGCAGAGGCGGCAGGGCGGGCGTGCCGGCTTGCCCTTCTTCCCCGCGGCGGCGGCGGGCTTGACGGAGCAGAGCGAGCAGAACCAGTCGCCGTCCGGGATGGACTGGGCCAGCGGGTTGCCGTAGCACGTGGCGTGCACCATGAGGTCGCACCCGTCGCAGAACACGATGGGGTCCGACTGGTCGCCGTCGGTGCTTCGGCAGACCGCGCAGAGGATGCCGTCGTCCTCTTCTTCCGCGAGAGCATCTTGCCTTCGCTCGGCCGCCACTTCTTCGTCTTCCTGCGTGTGTTCCTCCTCGCGTGCTGGCGCTGCCACTTCAGGAACAATCGCGTGGTCGAATTTCGTGAGCGCCTCCGCTTGAACTTGACACTGTTCGTCATCGACTACATTGGGGAGCTTCTTGCAGTGCACATCAGCCGTTTGCTCGAATTTCTCAAGCACTTCGGCTTGAGCTTCAGATTGTTCGCCGTTGACGGCATTGGAGAGCTTGCAATGCAGATCACTCGTTTGCTCGAATTTCTTCAGCACTTCGGCTTGAACTTCAGACTGTGCGTCATTGACGGCATCGGGGAGCTTCTTGCAGTGCAGGTCACTAGTTTGCTCGAATTTCTTGAGGTCTTCGGCTTGAACTTCAGATTGCATGCTACCGACGACATCAGAGAGCTTCTTACAGTGCAGATCACTAGTTTGCTCGAATGTCTTGAGCGCTTTGGCCTGAACTTCAGATTGTGTGTCATTGACGGCATCGGAGAGCTTCTTGCAGTGCAGATCACTAGTTTGCTCGAACTTCTTGGGCTCTTCGGCATGAACTTCAGACTGCATGCTACCGACGACTTCAGAGAGCTTCTTGCAGTGCAGATCACTCGCTGGCTCGAATTTCTTGAGCTCTTCGGACTGAACTTCAGATTGCATGCCATTGATGACATCGGAGAGCTTCTTGCAGTGCAGGCCACTCGCTCTTTTTGCGGTGTTTGTTCTGCGGGATTTCTGGAACACCTGATCCTTGACTTCGTCGGGCTTGTTGGTCATCTTGGACGCTTCAGCACCATTCGCCGCCTTAGGATAGGTGGCGGCGCCGCTTTCAACGAAGCCTTGAGGACAGGCTTCTTTGAGGGCGCCGACGCGAGCCCCATCTGACTTCATCGATGAAGATGGAGAGGGCGGGATGAACTGCGACATCACGCGCTTATTCGCCGGGAGGCAAACCGGGGCCCGAGCAGAAGCGTCCTCCGGGGGCGATTGCCACGGAACGCGCTTGTTGGTCTGGACGGAGGGGGCGGTGGCGACGCCCTCCGGGCACGACCGCACAGGGACGCGCTGCTTGGCCGGGACGGAGAGAGGAGCAGCGGCGATCCCCAGGGGCGACGGCGCCTGGACCCGCTTCTTGGCCGGAACGGTCGGGGGAGGGGCGGCGTGCTCCAGGGGCGATGGAGCCTGGACACGCTTCTTCGCCGGGACGCCTGGGGTAGCGGCGACGATGCTCCCCGGGCGCGGCGGCATCTGGGCATGGTTCTTCACCGGGACGGGGGGCGGAGCAGCAGCGTACTCCGGGGGCGACGGCGCCTGGACGCGCTTCTTGGCCGGAACGAATGGATTGGCGTTGACGACGCGCTGCGGGAGCGGCGGCACCTCGACGCGCTTCTTCACCGGAACGAGGGGAGGCTTCTTGTACGGGACGGAGGGAGGAGGAGCGTTATCCTCCGGCGGAGGGGGGCGCACGTGGACGCGCTTCTTGGCCGGAAGACACGCCGGCGAGATGGCATCCAGCGGTGGCGCACACGCGCGCTTCTTCGCCGGAAGGCAGGCAGGGGCAGGCGCCGCCTCCGGCAGCGGCGGGAGCGCGCGCTTCTTGGCGGGCAGCGGCGGGCACGGCGCTGACCCGAGGTTGGAGCCGACGAACTTGAACCGCTTCAGCGGCGGCAGGTCGCGGATGCCGCGGCCACCGCTCGCGGCGGCGTCCCCGGCGATCTCCATGTGCGGGGCGGCGAGATTTGGATCGGTGATTTGGCTACGAAACAGGCTCGCGGGGCGCGGGGTGATTTGACCGAGGAGGGAAGACGGGCTTAAATGATCCCGGCGGAGGCGAAAAATTCCGGGATTGGAATCGAGACGAGCGCGCGAGGATTTGGAGAAACGAATTTGAGGGGGCGGTAGGAGGAAGATTGCCGAAATGGAAGGGAACGCGATGGCGTCTCGGGGATTTTCGGCTTGAAATTTCGAATCCGGCCGCGAAAGCGCCTGTGGTTCGCGCGGAAATTTGTTGTTTCGTTCGTTCGGGGGCGATTTAGCGATGAAATCGTGGCGGCGCGGCGCGAATTGGTTTTTCCTTTTTCTTTTTGAGGGATGGCGCGAATGACGAATCAGTTGCGCGGGCGCGCGGGTCGGGCTGGGGATTTCGTTTTGGGACCGGGTTAGCCTCGTGGGCTTAGATGTGAACTGGCCCTTTTTAATGCTGCAGCTCGAGATTCGCACTTTCAAGTTAGTTTTGGTGTCTTGACGAAAAATAGTTTTGTTTCTCAAATAAATAGTTATAAAAAGTATTGTGAGGACCCAAACTGAGGACATGGATTTTTGGAACCTCGGTGCAGATAAACAAAAACAACAACTCGAAAAAATAGCAAACACAGTCGAATGTGCTACTCACGTGTGAAGTTTCGCGAAAAAAAATGAAGTTCATCAAATTCTTGACCAAAAATAAAATGTTTTCACAACTACTTTCCGACTGTTTACTACAACAAGTTGTCCGGCTCCGGTGAATAAGGGGCGATGACGGCGGCGCGCCTTTGGATCGCTTCAGTGCGTGTACTTGTCGCCAGGTGGTCTACGAATCTGGATGCAATACTTTTTTCTTGTGTTCGCTGTATAGGCATGATTGAAGATGAATATATACAAATAAGATGGGGAAAAGGCGAATGTCATTCCTTTGAGAAACTTTGCATGTGAGTTTGAACAATTGTTCATGTTTGTTATCACCGACAAATGGAATTGTTTGAGTTTTTCTTCTATTTTTCAGATTTCACTCTTCATCCGGGTGCCCGTGCACACATGTTCACCATTGTATTTCAACTCATGGTCACATACGAACGCGCGCGCACACACACTCACATCACCCCCACACAAAACTAATATTGGTGCAAATATGTGTGTGTATTTATGTCTGTGCTCGTGAGTGTGGACGTATGTGATTGAGTATCAATGTGTCACACCATCACGTGAGTGCACATTCAATGGTAAAACGTGTCATATTGTTATTATGGTTTTAGATCAATCATGTACTTATAGGTTAGGTTGGTACAACCACCACAAGCCTAACCATATCAACGGATCACGGCTCATGTCATTGAGTTTCAATTTCAGAACTCTCCCGCAACGATGTTATGGGTTCTTTCTTTTACATGTTTATCTCTCCTTTGTTCTTATTATTTATCATTTTGCTTTATGTTTACTTTTAGCATCATCATCCCATTTCCCATTATTTTCCTTCTTCTTCGTTTTAACCTTCTTTCATTCTTATATTCCATTTCCCACATAACATGCTAACTTTATTTTCTTATTTTACATTCTGACTTGTATTCTTAGGTTTCTTTTGCTATTATTATTTTATTTCAGTGTTTGATGATGGACTCAAATCCTTTTTTTTACGAAAATAACCAACAAATGTGAATGAGATTTGTCTTTAGGAACATGAATTAAAAATGCTCCACTTTTCAAGATATGCAACCATCTATTTTAGTAAGAAAAAAACTTATGGATATCAATATTTCTTTTAGAATACGTGAACCTTTTTGTAGGCATTAACATTAATGACTTACCGTAGGCAAGAGATAAATTTATGGTTCTGTTGGAATATTTGGGCTAGTATATTGCATTTAATATTCTTGAACAAATCACTCAAACTCTACAAACAAATTTAAAACCAAATAGAATATTGTTTTCCTTGGCCTAGGAAATCATTTTAAATAATAAATTCAAATTATTAAAGTGTTTTAATTTCAATGCAAAGTATTTTATATGTGTGTGCATGTGTGTGTGTGTGTGTGTGTGTGTGTGTGTGTTGTCTTTATGTACGCACACGTGAGACACAATGCAACATTCCACCCGAGTGTAATTGCTCATGTTATCTTCTGACCATTCCTCTTATGATTAATTGAGGTCAAAGTTCTCTTGAGCAGCCTAAACCAATAAAATCTCCACTAATTCCCTGAAAAACTAATCTCCACCGAGTTCCAAACAACACTTACTATGTTCTTAGATTCTTATATCTACCCCTCTCTCTCCATACTGCAGTGCCACCGACCAAGCCTTCACGACCGGTCGCAGGCTCACAGCCGGAGACCTGTGTGTTGTTGCCGGTTCCGAGCCTCTTGATCATCGCCCCTATATGTACCTCTCTTGAAGCCCCATGATCCCTGGCTAAGCATCAACCTAATGATCTGCATGTGCCACCGGCGCCTTGTCCAACATCACTTGCGTCATAGGTGGGTTCTTTCCTTCCTCTTAGGCCCTGTTTGTTTGGGCTTTTGCTTTTGCAGCTTTTTCACTTTGACAAAAAGCCACAAAACCTCCTAAATTGGTCATTTTTGCTTCGCCTTTAGGCTTATGAATAAATATTGTTATATGATGATATACACCAAAAGCTGAAGCAAAAAGACCCAAACAAACAAGGCCTCAACCTTCTCATATATGAACATCTTTTTTTAAGTTAGCTTGATTAGACGAGTTGATTTTGTGTGTGCTGCTTCGAGTTAGCTTGATTGGACGAGCTGATTTGTGTGTATTGGGTAGTTTTCTTGAAGCTTTCTCCCCATCTCCACACACCTACCAAGCAACAACTCCAATCCGACTCTCTCACCTAAACGCCTATCTAACTCAATACTGCCGACACACATGTGTCCACGTGAGATGGATCATTGATGTCTGCCCAATCCGATTTTTTAATGGAAGTGCTAGATGGTGAATATATCTTCTATGTTTTGTATTCTTTAGTGTTCTTGAATGAAGAAACAAATGAACTACACCATTTCATATGCCCATGGTGTTAGTTGAGCCAAATGGTTAGTGTCGTGGTACTAAGTCTGACAGTAAGAGTAGGGGGTACGTATGAGGAGGCAAGGTCCTAGCTACGGCGAGGTTGTACACACGAGTTTACGAGTTCAGGCCCCTCTCGGAGGAGGTAAAAACCCTACGTCTCGGTGCCCTGAGGCGGTCGACTGTAATATGGGCGTGTTTTACAAGGGGTGCAAATCCTTGTCCCAGAGGAGGGGGGTGGCTTATATAGAGTGCGCCAGGACCCCAGCCATCCCCCATTACAGGGTTCAATGTACATTAAGACAGGGCGTTACTGGTAACGCCAGCTATAAAGTGCTATTAATGATCTTTAAGACTATTGAGTGAACGCCTGACCGTTGCCATCCTGAGTGACTCTAGGTCTTTTGTACTCCGAGTGGTTTCTTGTATTGTCGAATGGCTTCATCTTGGTCGAGTGAAATTGGGGGTATCCGAGTGGGGTAACTGGTCGAGTGGATTGCACTCCTTGGTTACTTCAGTCGGTATCTCTTGCTATACTCTGAATGTCCTTGGTTATATGGTAGTGACCTTGGGTAGGGCGTATAGGTCAGGCCTATGACCCTACCCTAGGTCCATGGCATTGTCATTAGCCCCCGAATGGATTGATGTCCGAGTGAAAAGAGAGTTGAAGTTGATCCTGCCCTGACTCTTATGCTTCATGGGCATTCTTACTGAGTTCGAGAATTGTGCAGAGACTTCGACTTCATTTCAGTCGCCTTGATCGATTCAGAGGTTGTCGAGTGAACTTGTACTGGCAGTCTTTGAGTGTCGATATGGTGCGAAATCTTTTGCGTGATTGGTTACTGCGGTTCCCGGATCTCACGGGGTTCAAAACTTTGGGAGAGCGCGTGAGACAAAACGCGCCGCAATAAACGGGACGGATAGACAGGGGCTTCTTGATTCTCGCGCCACCTTTTTTGCCACATATCCGACGTGCGACTGTTGCGGGATTTGACAGGCTCGCTCGGGCCCACGTGTTAGCCACTCGGAAGCAGGCCCGTAAAAGGCGTCGAGGTCGATGCATTTGCACAATGCGCACCATTCCCCTTCCTCCTCCTCTGCTTCCCCACTGCGTCCTCCTCCACTCTCGACGCCACCGCCCTGCCCGTGCGCAGTCCGCCACAATGTTGAAGGACAAGATGGCGGCCCTGGAGCTCGTGAAGAAGGCGACGGTGACGGCGAAGGGCAAGAAGGCGAGTCGGGGATTGTCGTCGAGGTCTGGGTTGCCACCTGGCTGGATCCAGGGGGACTGGATTCGATCTACACTCTAGAAACAAGATCTGGAGGATCTGGCCACCGTGGGCTTAATCACTGACGGGTCTTGGAGGCTGCCGGGGGACGAGATTGAGCCTTAGCCACAGGAGGGTGAGTGCGTCCTCCTTGCAACCCACGTCGACCGTAGTTTTTCTCTACCTCCGCATCCTTTCTTCCAGGGTTTTCTGAACTTTTTCAGTGTCCAACTTCACCATTTCTCTCCCAACACTATCACATACCTTGCTGCATATGTTTATCTGTGCGAAAACTTCTTGGGCTATAGACCGCACTGGGGTCTATTCAAGCATATCTTCACTTGTCGTTCTTAATCTGTGAAGAAAGCGAACCCAACTAACGAGAGAACGCACATGATTCAAATGTGCGGGGGTTTAGGGATTCATATGAGGGTTAGAGTACTTTTCCCCCTATGACACTTCCCGAGTCAGTTAGGAGATGGCAGTCGACCTGGTTCTACTGCCAAGATATTTCGACCCCCGGTCAGTCGACCGGTCTTCCTCCCTTCACCCTAGATCGAGTCCAGCAACCTTCTTCACTGATCGTGTCTGTAGCTGAGAAAGTAGAGGTGAACATGCTAGTCGAGCGGGTAGTCCAGTTGGTCCATGAGGGCGTGACCGGCATGGATTTATTGAAAG